AGCACGCAGTTACCATGAGCAGAAGGATAGTTAAATGGTTGATATGTCTGTAATCCCTGGAAAGAAATGCGTTTTGGTGAGAGGCAGGTTGTATCCAGAACCGTGCTTTATCCAGAACCTTGCCTGTGGCAAATCTACGTTCTTGGACACGCGGGGACTTCTAGTATCCAGAACCGTGCCTGCCCCTAACCCTAACCCATTCAGGTATAGAACTAGCTTCAGGATGCAACAGTCCTTATACCGAATTGCGCTGGTGAGACTTACCTTACACAGGTACTTTACCGGCCAGTAGAGGCTTACCTTACAGACAGGTACTGTACCGGCCAGTAGAGGCTTACCTTACAGACAGGTACTGTACCGGCCAGTAGAGGCTTACCTTACAAACAGGTACTGTACCGGCCAGTAGAGGCTTACCTTACAGACAGGTACTGTACCGGCCAGTAGAGGCTTACCTTACGGACAGGTACTGCACCGGCCAGTAGAGACTTACCTTACAGCGAGGTACTGTACAGGCCAGTAGACGGCGTAGAAGCGGTCTGCAGCGATGGCGATGAGCAGAAAGGTGGAGGAGAGAACGCTGGCTGTGGTCAGGTACGGGTTGATCTGGCGCAGGGCAGGGCAGAGGCGAGTTAAGAACTATTATGGTCTTCTATGAGCTATAAAATCCCTGTTACGTGTAAAATCTCAGTTCAGATGCACTGTACATAAAACGCATTTTTAAGACTGGCCAGTAGCAACGGCAGTGCCCGTCCGTGTGTGTCTGTCTGTGTGTGTGTGTGTGTGTGTGTGTGTGTCTGTCTGTCTGTGTGTGTGTGTGTGTGTGTGTGTGTCCGTCGTCCGTGTGCGTGCTTGCCCGTACCGTACCTTGCACCAGGCGGTGCTGGTGTAGGTGATATGGTAGTACGAGAAGACCTTCATGGGCACGACTGCTGCTGAGATGAGGAAGTCGGCCCCGCCAGCGCCAGGATGAAGCAGGTGGAGGAGGACTTGTTCCTCCGGGCGCCGTTCACGACGATGACGAGCAGGTTTCCGAGCGCGCCGACCGGGCACAGAACCAGCAGGTACACGATCACCGGGAGCATCTGCCGCGCGTAGGTCCGGTCCAGCAGCGCGTTCAGAACGTCCTGGGGCACGGGCAGGCACGTCACGTTCTCCATGGTCGCCGCACGGTCGCGGTACGGTCTCCGCACGTTCTCGGCACGGTCACAACACGGTCGCAGTACAGTCTTCGCACGGTCTCGGCACAGTCGCTGCAAAGTCGCCGCACGGTGGTCGACACAGTCGCCGCACAATCGCCACAAGGTCGTCGCACGGTCGCCACACGGTCGTCGCACTGTCGCAGTACAGTCCAGAACTGCACAGCAGTCTCCGCAGAGTCGCGGCACACTTGCGGTACAGAACCGAACCGTCCACAGAGATCTACGCCACTAGAAGGCTGGGTTCTGGACGAAACATCCACGACTGTCCTACAACAACGCTGCTGTTGTCCGCCTGTCGTACTGCGCGTGTGGCCGAAGCCTCGCCGATGGACGCCTCGGACGGTTTCGGGAGGAACAGAACTGGTGATGTTCCGCCCTAGACCGTGACAAGACGGTGTGGCCGTCCTGCTCCTCTAGAAACGTCTTACCTCTAGCGAGAACATTGCAGAAGGCAAATAAAGGCGTCTGGTGCTGCCAGTAATAAACTGGCACAAACCACAAACAATAGTTAGAAGCTGAAGGACGTAACAACACCCACGGCACAAACACGCTCCTTTCCGCAGCATACCGGCCCGACGTCCCGGTGTTTATTACCCTCTTCACCTTCGGCAAAACTGCCAACCTTTGCTCCAAATAAATTTGTCACACGCGTTATTTATGAGTATCCTGCGCTGTAATTCATCTAGCCTGTGACCAGTGTGATTAGAAGACTATGTAGCTGATATGATATACAGGTTTCACTGACATCTGTTAATCCCGGGGAAGTAGCCTCTACTAGAAGAAGCCTGGTAGAGGCTACCGGAGATGTACATTTTACACACCGTGTACCCCGCACAGATCTGTTAGGTTGTAGTACATTTTACACACCGTGTACCCGCACAGATCTGTTAGGCTGTAGTACATTTTACACACCACGTACCCGCACATATCTGTTAGGCTGTATTACATTTTACACACCGTGTACCCGCACAGATCTGTTAGGCTGTAGTACATTTTACACACCGTGTACCCGCACAGATCTGTTAGGCTGTAGCACATTTTACACACCATGTACCCCGCACAGATCTGTTAGGTTGTAGTACATTTTACACACCGTGTACCCGCACAGATCTGTTAGGCTGTAGTACATTTTACACACCGTGTACCCGCACAGATCTGTTAGGCTGTAGCACATTTTACACACCGTGTACCCCGCACATATCTGTTAGGTTGTAGTACATTTTACACACCGTGTACCCGCACAGATCTGTTAGGTTGTAGTACATTTTACACACCGTGTACCCGCACAGATCTGTTAGGCTGTAGTACATTTTACACACCGTGTACCCGCACAAATCTGTTAGGCTGTAGCACATTTTACACACCGTGTACCCGCACAGATCTGTTAGGCTGTAGTACATTTTACACACCGTGTACCCGCACAGATCTGTTAGGCTGTAGCACATTTTACACACCGTGTACCCGCACAGATCTGTTAGGCTGTAGTACATTTTACACACCATGTACCCCGCACAGATCTGTTAGGCTGTAGTACACACCATGTTCCCGTACAGATCTGTTAGGCTGTAGTACATTTTACACACCGTGTACCCGCACAGATCTGTTAGGCTGTAGTACATTTTACACACCGTGTACCCCGCACATATCTGTTAGGCTGTAGTACATTTTACACACCGTGTACCCCGCACAGATCTGTTAGGTTGTAGTACATTTTACACACCGTGTACCCGCACAAATCTGTTAGACTGTAGTTAATCACTCTTATCGACAGCTTTATCCATAAATCAGCCCATAAATGTGTTGCGTCATTAGTTACAGAAGTATGATGTACATGTAGGACGATGGCGTTTTCTGTGTCTGAAGCGTAAAAAGACAGCGTCCCTACTCCAGGTTGAGATACATCAATCTTACAGAGGAAGTTTGAAACTTCAAATCTCTGTTTTGCCTTCAGGTCCTTGGCCCATGGAGGTTCATTGCTTTAAAAAAATGTACAGTCATCAAGACAAACCACCCGATACAAATCTACATAATATGACAAACATCACGTGAAAATACGTACAACACTAAGTTAGTTCAGCAATAGTCTGTTGTTCGTTCAGCTCCACTAACTAGCTGCACCGGAAACTCAGCTCTTCTTGTAGAAAATACAGACGTGAACAGATCTTCAGACGGAGTCTCTCGTACGAAGTACCGATACAGTCAACAGCCCTGTGCCGAATCCTCGGCTTTCATGTTCACACAATTACATAAGTCAGCCTTATCGTATCCAGAACCCTGCCTGTCTAGCTCTATGTCTGATTGGGTTAGGATCAGGAACGGTTCTGGATACCTGTAGACGTGCCCCAGGTACGGTTCTGGATACGCGTGGACTGTCCAGAACCGTGCCTGAGCATGCATATGGTTCTGGATAAGGCGCGGAAATGGATGCAACAGCCCTTTTATAGGTCCGGCCGGCCTTAACCGAGCTGCCGTACTCTGCAGACTAGTTCCGGGCGCACTTGAAGAGCAGCGCCAGCCTGTCCCTGAAGTCCTTCTGCACGAAGGTGTAGATGACGGGGTTGGCGGCGTTGTTGATGAAGTAGAAGTTGGAGAAGAAGACGACTGTTCTCTGGACGGGTTCTGGCTCGGCCAGCAGCCAGCTCGGCTTGTCCACGTCGTACAGACTGATGACCCAGTACGGCAGCCAGGACAGGATGAACACGGACGTGATCAGCAGCAGCAGCTTCGCCACGCGGTACTGCCGCTGCACGGAGGACAGCCGCGACTTCTTCAGCCAGCGCACGGGGTGGGAGGGGGGCGACCTTGTGCTGACAGGGTCAGGGTCACAGTGGGAGGGGGGCGACCTTGTACTTGCAGGATTGGGGTGGGAGGGGGGCGGCCTTGTCCAGGCAGAGTTTGGGTGGGAGGGTGTAGGAGAGGAGACCCGCGACTGTTCGTCCCCCCGGTCATGTTTTCCCGGTGTTTCCCGGTTGCCTGAGTGGTGGTAGTCCGTGTGTGACGCCTGGCGGTTGGTGGTAGCCAGGCTGAGGCCGGAGGGGGTCGGGGTGTCGGCGGCGCCCGGGCGGGGGAAGCGGTGCTGCAGCGTCGCCCAGACCGACGCGCCCTGTGGCAGCGGGTGCACCAGGTCCATCACGTGCTTGTAAACCTGCAACACAAAACGCCGGAGTCAGTCATTGTAGACGTTTATCAGTCTGAGAGAGCGAGTCTGACAGAAGGTCAGTGCAAGAGCAGAGACTGTCCCAGACCCGCGACTGCCGAGCGTGTATACAGCTCGGATAGTCAGGATCCAGGAAAGAGCACTTTGCAACTGCATCATAGTTACGTACGCCATGGAAAACGACGTATCATTTCAAAGGTTGTCGTGAATTTGGCTCACCAGCGCGTAGAGCAGGAAGATGGCGAACACGGAGGCGAAGAAGACGGCCGCGGTGACACCGAAGTAGATCCTGCCGTGCGTGACGCCGCCCACGCTGCTGCAGAAGCTGACGGTCTCGCAGGCCGGGCCCACGCGGATTCCCGGAACCTCGTCCTGCAGCACCACGGCCGGGATGGACAGCACGAACCCCGCCAGCACCGTCAGCACGCAGACTACAGGGACGCTTCTGTTCCTGGAACACAACATAGCAAGGTCAGCACGCACAGCACCACGGCCGGGATGGACAGCACGAACCCCGCCAGCACTGTCAGCACGCATAGCACGGGCACGCTTCTGTTCCTGGAATATAACACAGCACAGCACCGTTAGCACGCACAGCACGGGCACGCTTCTATTCCTGGAATATAACACAGCACCGTCAGCACGCACAGCGCGGGCACGCTTCTGTTCCTGGAATATAACACAGCACCGTCAGCAGCGCGGGCACGCTTCTGTTCCTGGAATATAACACAGCACTGTCAGCACGCATAGCACGGGCACGCTTCTGTTCCTGGAATATAACATGATACGATGAGCACATTCTTCCTCAGTGAGCAGACTTCCTCAGTGGCGGCACGTTACATGACTTTCTTACACTGAGGAGCATTGAAGTCTTACACTGAAGAAGACTGATCAGACTTACTTGGCGGCCCTGTACTTGACGGGGTGCGCCACTGCCCGGTAGCGGTCCACTGCGATGGCGGTCAGCAGGAACACGGAGCTCAGCAGGCTGGCAAGTGTGAAGTACGGACTCGACTGGGGGGGGGGGGCAAAAACACTCCATGGTTATCCTACTGAACCCCGCACTTACATTGCACTTAAGCCGACAGTACTTTAGCGGAGTCAATCACAGCTAGAGGTTTGGATTTGGTTAGAGTTTTGACCTGACTACCGTGGTGGTTTGGATCTGAGCTTTGGTCCATAATACATACTTTATGATTATTAAGTCAGTCTGATGGTTAGTCAGCATTGATATTAATCCTTAGCCAGAATCCACTCTGTTTTAGGGGCATCTGGAAGGTTCTGCAGGTCATGTTCCGAGTTTTACACAACCTTTTGTCTGTTTGCTGGAGTGATAACCTCCTGCCGGATAAATGACAAACCGGATAGTGAGTGATAAATGACAAACCGGATAGTGAGTGATAACCTCCTACCGGATAAATGACAAACCGGATAGTGAGTGATAACCTCCTACCGGATAACTTACAAACCGGATAGTTAGGGATAACCTCCTACCGGATAAATGATAAACCGGATAGTGAATGATAACCTCCTACCGGATAACTCACAAACCGGATAGTGAATGATAACCTCCTACCGGATAAATGACAAACCGGATAGTGAGTGACCAACCTCCTACCGGATAACTTACAAACCGGATAGTGAGGGATAACCTCCTACCGGATAAATGATAAACCGGATAGTGAGTGATAACCTCCTACCGGATAACTCACAAACCGGATAGTGAATGATAACCTCCTACCGGATAAATGACAAACCGGATAGTGAATGATAACCTACTACCGGATAACTGACAAACCGGATAGTGAGTGATAACCTCCTACCGGATAAATGACAAACCGGATAGTGAGGGATAACCTCCTACCGGATAAATGACAAACCGGATAGTGAGTGATGACCTCCTACCGGATAAATGACAAACCGGATAGTGAGTGATAACCTCCTACCGGATAAATGACAAACCGGATAGTGAGTGATAACCTCCTACCGGATAAATGACAAACCGGATAGTGAGTGATAACCTCCTACCGGATAAATGACAAACCGGATAGTGAGGGATAACCTCCTACCGGATAAATGACAAACCGGATAGTGAGTGATAAATGACAAACCGGATAGTGAGTGATAAATGACAAACCGGATAGTGAGTGATAAATGACAAACCGGATAGTGAGTGACCTACCTTGCACCACGCCTTGCTGGTGTAGGTCACGTGCTGCATCTCCACGATCTTCAGGGGAATCTTCACGGCGCAGATGAAGAGGTCAACCACCGCCAAGGTCAAAACAAAGATGGTGGCCGAAGACTTGTCCTTCCGCCGGGCGTTCACCAGGATCACCAGCAGGTTTCCCGTGGTGCCTAGCGCGCACACCACGCCCAGAAACACCACCACGTGCAGTTTGTCCTGGACAGAAGACGTTTTATTCGTCAGCTCATCTCTAGGCTGATGTCTCAAATGGCAAAACATGTTCACCAACGTCTGGTTACAAAGAGACGTCAATACATTATAGTGTTCTCAGGGTTAGCTACACTAGAGGATTGATCTGGTTAGAGGTTTGGATCTGGATATCTGGAGGTTTGGATCTATAGTTAGAGGTTTCGGTCTTTTTACCTTGAAAATTTGGTCTGGAAAGCTGAACTTTAGCTAGAAGTTTTAATCTGATGATTAGCTAGATGTTTTGATCTAGTTAGCCCTGGGTTTGGTTCTGATTTGCGGTGGAGTTAAAAAAAGTCTGGTCGCAGTATTATAAAGGGAAGAAGTGAGGTTTAGGTGTTAGAGTGTTTCGGGTGCAGCATGAGTACATTATATGACGTACCTTTGCGAAGGACGAATCCACGAACGCATTGACCACGTCCTGACCGAAGGAGATGCACTTCGCGGCTGTGGGACCGGGGAGGGAGCCGTTCCAACCCTCCGTGGGATCAGAACCGTTCCCGGGCCAAGTTGTGTTCAAGGCTGACATGTTCGTTCGCCGATCGCTGTTTTTGTGTTCTAGAAAAGAGAACTCTTCAGACCTGCCCAGGTGACCTGGCGGAGCCGCGGGAAAGGTTGAGGTCACACAAAAGGTTTATGACACCGAATTGGGGCCATTCCTAGAACAGCCGAGGATGTGGCGTGCGCAGTGTATTGTCGTGCAACTGAAAAGTTTGCGGATCCTTGTCGGTAGTCAGTCTTGTCAAAGTCTCGCCGACAATCCTACGCCAGAAAAAACGCCCGACGGATGTGACCAGCGCTTCTTTGTGCTGTAAAATCCCGCAGACCAGAGCGCGTCCAACAGCGCCAAACACGGCCGTCCCCGGGCTGGCTGTAACGATAGGATATCTCCCGTAGAATTCCGCGGCAATGACGACTAGTTCAAAACGACGCCTTTGTTTAGAAGCGAGACATCACTCAGAGCTCCAGAAACGCGCTCCGTTATCAGCCACGGTTCCGCAGCTCCGCTTTCAGCCGAGTAAAGCTCAGGACTAACCAGCAGGTCGGGTTTTCCGGGGAGAGGAGGGGGTGGTGACGTCATAGGCCGTACACCTGGCGTCGGGCGGCAACCAATGAGGATGTCCGCTCCACAGGTATGCTGGTCAAAAACAATCCCCGAGCAGATCTTCTGTTGGTTACAAGACGGGATCAACTTGGCAGGACAGTATCAAACTGCCAGGGGCAGTATCAAAGTCGTAGGCTGACTGGAAAAAAAGACGCACCGGTACAAAAACGAAAGCCCGATAACAACGAGCAAAAAAAAAATACACGTTGGCAATAGGCCGAAGCCTAAACCTCTGTTTTGTGAGTCAGTATGACATAATCCAGTTCTTCCTTCACGAAAAGGATGGCGACATCCTGTTGGTATTCTGGCTCCAGACTTCAGAATCGGAAGCTGGCACGAACAGGATGACTACTCGCCACTTTGCTACAGAGATAGAGAGAGTGGCAAATTGTGGCGACTTTTTTTATCAGCCCCACGGCCTCTTGTAGCGACTGATTTATACACTGTAGTGTGAGAAGCATTATGCGTCGCCTGGCAGCAACACTGGATCTATCAACAGGAAGTTCTGAGCGCGGGAACATCGCTTGGGATGCTGGAGGGAAGGAGAGAGAGAGGACCGGAAAAAAGGAAAGCAAAATGGAGATGGAGGGAAGAAAGTGATAAGGAACGAACAGGAAGAAGTGATAAGAAGCAAAAATGAAAGAATGAAGAAAGAAAACAAGGAGGAAGGAGAGACCAAGGTGTGAAGTCGACAAATTGCCGACACGTCGGACCAGGAATGTAGAAATTAAGAGTCTGCCGTGTTGACGTCAGCTTTAATAACACCTGTCCAGGTGATATACAGGTGTGTGCGTAAGCGCCTCACGTGCCGACAGACGCACGCACATCAGGCACGTCCTGCGGTTTTATAGCGGGTCCGTCCAAATAACAATAAACACCCGCGTAACAGATTCACTAAAATCACTGCTTAAAGTTTACCATTGTGCTGATCACGCAGTTGGAGAAAATAGTTCGCTTTTTTTTCACAAATCCGTGACGCTCACAATGACAAGTCATTTTAACGTCATTTTAACCGTAAGTGAGCAAAACGTGATGTTCTGTGCTTCAGTGTGCTCTGCTTTGTCTTTTGGTGTTTTTTCCGCCAACGCTACTGGTAAAGCTCCCGGGCCTGAGTCATTCTGAAACCAGTTTCTGCTTGGCGACTTTTATTGCCGCAACATCATCACCACGATCCCATCGGGGACGACGTAAAACGTTGCACCACTTAAGTCCACAACTCACCTCTCCAGTCCCATAGCAGTCATAAGTCCACAACACGCACATAAAAGCGGCTCGCCTCCCTTTTAGCCTGATCCACCCAAACGGCCCGGAAAACTCTCCAGGCCGCGCGCTGAAGGCAAATAGTCCGAGATGAAAGCGGCGAGGCGCGTTTCCTGCCGCCCAGGGCTTCGCAGGAAAACCGTGCTTTCGTTACTCGAGTCTCGGTATTGACTCAAGCTACGATTCTAAAAGTAATCCTTTCAGTCACATCCCTGCAAATAATCCAAACCCAGATCCAAATCAGATTGAGAGTCAGGCTCACTGATGACATTTTACGATATATCTGTATTACTGTTGATGTCTTAATGTCTAGTAATTAGGATGCTAATTTTCATTCTATATCCTTTTCTTTCTTGTACTATGTTCAATAGTCGTTGTCATACATTATACCTTTGTCGTGCAGTAAAGTTCTTCTCTATAACTTAGTATAAGCAGGCAACTGGGCACATATTGACAATTTTATTATTTCACTTTACACTTCTATTTACACTTCCCGTCTAGAGTATTTCTCCAGGCATTTATCGCTCATGGGGAGCTCCGTCTATCAGCTACCAAACGTAAACGTTTATTACAGTACTGCTAAAGGTTTTTCATAACTGTCTGCATATCTTAGTACATGGCGCTAGGAGGCGCTTATTTGGAGAGTAACGTTGCGCCCGCTGGCCGGTCCTTCTGTCCTGGTCACCCATCATTAGTCTAACACATCTGCATGTCGTAGACGTCCTGTTTGTTTGATCCAGCAGCTGCCCTGTCTCCTACAGGTGCAGGACTCTATCCCGGAATGTCCTTTTTGTTTGTTTGTTTGTTTGTCCATCAGCTGCCCTGCCCCCTACATGTTACCAGCCGCATGACCCTATCCCGGAACGTCCTGTTTGTTTGTTTGCTTGTTTGTTTGTTTGTCCATCAGCTGCCCTGCCCCCTACACGTAACCAGCCGCAGTACCCTATCCCGGAACGTCCTGTTTGTTTGTTTGTTTGTTTGTTTGTTTGTTTTGTCCATCAGCTGCCCTGCCCCCTACACGTAACCAGCCGCATGACCCTATCCCGGAACGTCCTGTTCGTTTGTTTGTTTGTTTGTTTGTTTGTTTGTTTGTTTGTCCATCAGCTGCCCTGCCCCCTACACGTAACCAGCCGCATGACCCTATCCCGGAAAGTCCTGTGGCAGAAGGCGTAGATGACGGGGTTGGCGGCGTTACTGGCGAAGTGCAGCTGCCGGAAGAACTCTGCCGCCCGGGTGGCCGCCGTGCCGCCCCG